ACCACCCCACAGCTCAGAAATGACCTGGATAGTTCTCAATTCAGAAATAGGACTCCAAGGGAGGCCCCAGGGCTTGGGCAGATTATGTTTTGGATTAGTCAAAGAGGGAAGTGAAGCATGAGATAGGAGGGTGCACCTACTGTGTGCCAAGTGGCTGATGCTGAGATTCTGAGTTCTGGCCCAGCCTCAGCACAGAAGAGCAGTTGGGATAGTAGTGCTTCCCTGAGAGAGTTCAAGGGCTTCAGAGTCAACTGCGACCAAGTGCAATAGGTACTGGGGACAGGCATCCGGAAAGAGGGAGCTACAGGGAAGCTTCCAAGTGTGCTGGCTCATCTGCTGCCCAGAGAAGGCTGTTCAGAGCAAGTTTGGGGAATAGCATGACCACCGGAGGGGTTGAAGGTCAAGTAGTATGGGTGTTGTAATGAACTATTTCACCACAGTCACATTCCCAGTATGCTTGTGAACTACTAGAGAGCAGGTGTACAGCTTCTCCTTTCTCAAAGCACGTCACAGAGATGGACAAAGGGCCATATCAAATTAATTAATTCAACAAACTGCACTAAGCATCTACTTTGAACAGGGTGCTGTGCCAGAAATTGTGAAAACAAAAACAATTCAGCCATGGTCTCTGCCTTCAGAAGTCTACAGTCTATTATTGCTCCTGAACTGAGTAAAAGCCAGCCAGAGTGTGGGAGAGAGGCAGGGCTGGGGTGGGGAAAGAACCAAAAGAAAAGGAATTCCACACAGATGGCAGCATCAACAAATGAAGGCAGATCAACAAAGCATGTGCAGGAAAGCAAAAGCGGCTAGGGTGGCTGGTGGCATCACTGGTGGATGCAGGGCAAAGTGGGGCAACAGCAGGGGTGGGTCTTGTGTGCTGGGCTAGGGCAACAAGGGCCACTCAAGGGTTTTAAACAGGGGGGTTTGTTACAAAGCTCACTCCAGCTGCGAAGAAGCAATTATACTGGAAGAAAAGGAAGCAGAGAGGCCAGTGAGGCAGCTACTGTGTGGTTCAAATGCTGAGCTGGAGCAGTGGTATTAAGAACAGAGGAGAGAGGCCAGATTTAAGATGCATGTAAGAGGCAGAATGATAGAACTTAATATTTGATGAGGGAGGGAGGGGCCAACAAAACATCTAAGTTTTTATTTAGGCGGTGCTTTTACTGAGACAGGAACACAGGAAGTGGGCAGGTTGAAGGAGGGGAGCAGAGTCTAGCGCTGAATGTGCTGAACAGACAGCTAGTTGCCTTTCTGAAGAGGATGGTGGGAAACAGAGGCTCTGGAACTCCCAGGAGGTCTGCCCGATAGGGCATCCCCACCTACCCCATGACCAGGAACAGCTCTGGATTCTGGAAGGAAAGCCTTGCTTTCAATGCGAAGCCTCTGGCTTATGGTATGTAGGTTGGCCCTGCTTTGGCTCCAGTGACCCAAGAAGACCAGAGAGGCCACAGGGGCCTGGTCTGTGGGGCTGGTGCGTTATCTCCACCATTTGTAAGGTGGTAACTGCGCGCCAGCCTTGCTAGAAAAGCCCTGCAGCTGGGGATCACACTGATAAATTCACTGTATTACTTTGCACAAATCAATATCCCAGCACTTACCAGGGGTTGATGTGACCGAAATTGGTTTCAGCCAATTCGAGAGGGTAATAAATGGCCATTTATCAAATCAATTCATTCTGCGGCACTTCTCTGGCTGCCCATCCTCATGGTACCCCTGGGTGCCAGGGTCCACCCAGCTAGTCCCTAGCACACATCTGACACTAGCCTAAAGGACCAGTGAGGCCTGGCCTAGCCTCTACATCTGCCTCCCATTCTTGTACCTCCTTCAGTCTAGAGGTCCTGAGGCACTGGCTGCTGCCTGCCTACCACAAACCCTGACCCAGAGAGTGCCTCAGGCTCCACCTGGGTGGGTAGCTGGGCATTATCTGGCCATTATCAGTGTGATCCCCAGCTTTAGGGCTTCTAGCAAGGTGCGCACATAGTTACTGCCTTACAAATGGAGGTGATGATGGCTTACCAGCCCCAGAGCCCAGGATCCAATTGCCTCTGGCCTTTCCGGAGTCAGTAGGACCATGACAGGGTCAACTTACATACCACAGGATAAGGAGCAGGGCCTCCCTGATCTGAGGCAGATTTTAGGTGACAGAATGGAGCTTTGGATAGAAGAAAGCACTGAGGGCAGACATTCTAATAGCCCTTGGGAGGTGGGAAGCTGAATCATCTACTCTTGCTTGGGTCCACTCAAGGGGAGGCAGAGGGGTGGGCAGCAGAGGTCTGTAGGACTAGGGAACGACACCAGTCTGGGGCTGGGACTAAGGGTCAGTCCCAGCTTGAAGGAAACAGCTGTGGGCCTGACCTACAGAGCACAGTGCCCATCCCTAGACGGTCAACATCTTAAGGACAGGGACTAGGTTTTTATTCAGTGCTGCCTGGCACACTGGAAAGAGCTTTAGAATCAGGCCGTCTGGATCTGCTCCCCAGGACACAGGCGAGGAAACTGATGCTCAGAGAAGCAAAGTGACTGGCCTGAGTGACACAGCTGGTAACTGCTGACCTTGCTATTCAAGCCCAGGTTGGTTGAAGTCTTCCCATCTCTCTCTCTCTCTTTTTTTTTTTTTTTAGTATTTGTATTGATTTCAGAGAGGAAGGGAGAAGGAGAGATAGAAACATCAATGAGGAGAGAGAATCACTGGTTGGCTGCCTCCTGCCTGCCTCCTGCTGGGGATCTATCCTGCAACCCGGGCATGTGCCCTGACCGGGAAATGAACTTTGATCTCCTGGGTCGTAGGCTGACACTTACCCACTGAGCCACACCGGTAGTGCGAAGTCTTCCTATCTCAATGTCCTTCTCCTCTCCCCCCAACTCTTACTTCTGGGAGCTTCATATCTTATAGGCTTGAGAAGCAAGAGGTCAGAGGAGCAGGCAGCATGCTGGTAAAGGGCCGTGTCAGAAGCAGAGGGAAAATACTATGATGGCAGTGGCAGTTCTGGCCCAAATGCACAGGAGACTCCAGCAGGAGATGCTCTCTTAGATCTCTGCCCAGGTAATCTATCTCTCCATGGGCTAATCCTTGTCTCTCCAAACCCTGAGAGCTCCCAGCATCTCCCGTCCTGCCACTTCAGACACAATGTTGACAAAGAAGTGGGAGGTTGCCACCTCTAAGGTGGTAGCTGAAGGTGGAGGGCAGCTTGGTGAGGTTTGGGCCTGAGCAGTGGGGCCTTGTATATTCAAAAACTCTTTCCCTGGCTCCTGTGTCAGCAGGAAGCCTTCTGACCTCTAGTTGTGAGGCAGCTCTGATCATTGGGACACCCTTTTTTTTTTAAAGGTAACTTTATTATTATTTTTTTAAAAAAATGTTTTTATTGATTTCAGAGAGAAAGGGAGAGGGAGAAACATCAATGATGATTGCCCTAGCCAGTTTGGCTCAGTGGATAGATCACTGGCCCACTGACTAAAGGGTCCCAGGTTTGATTCCGCTCAAGGGCACATGCCCAGGTTGTGGGCTCAATCTCCTGTAGGGGGCGTTCAGGAGGCAGCCAATCAATGATTCTCTCATCATTGATGCTTCTATCTTTCTCTCCCTCTCCCTTCCTCTCAAAAATCAATAAAAAAAATATATAAAAAGAAACATCAATGATGAGAGAGAACCATTGATGGCTGCCTCCTGCAGGCCCCCTACTGGGGATTGAGCTGCAACCTGGGCATATGCCCTGACTAGGAATCGAACCTTGGACCTATTGGCTCATGTGTTGATGCTTAACCATTGAGCAACACTGGCCAGGCAGTAGACACTTTTATCTGCTGATCAGGTCAGGCCCCTGACGAGGGGCTCATGGCAGCTACATGAGTCCCACTGGTATATGTGAGAATGATGAAGATCAGGCTGGGCTCTGTGTGTCACAGGGACAACCACCTTCACTTTTCAATTACTCCTCTAATTGGTTTCCTAGCACTGAAAATGCCACCCTAGAATATCCCAGAGGAGCACCACAAGTTCAGCCTGATGTCTCCTTTCTCAGTGAGAAGAACCTGGTACTTTCTTTGGCAGTTGCTGCCAACAAATACTTGGAGAGAAGAGGCAGCAACACATGAGTGGGACTGACTGAAACAGAGCAGAGCAGAGTTTTTTAAACTTGAGCTGAGCATCAGAATTACCAGCAGGGACTGTTAAAACATGGGTTGCTATGCTCCATTCCCAGTTTCTGATTCCATAGGTCTGGGGTGAGGCCTGAGATCTGCATTTCTCACAAGGTCCCAGAGGATGTTGATGATACTGATTTAGAGACCATGCTTTGAGAGCCTGCCTTTGGGGATGTCCCCTTTTCTAAGCTGGGCATGGGTTCTGCTGCCCTTGCTGCCTTCGAGATCACCCTCAGGGAGTCATGTATCTGGGTCAGAAAACAATGGAGAGGCCACCATCTTTAGCAGACCCTAGTCCTATATTTCTTTCCAGTGGGTTCGGCATGGGCAGGAGGGCTATTAGATTAGGGGTTATACCAGTGGGTAGTCTGGCTCCCAGGGGTCAAAGTATGGGACATAAGACTTCTGAGGTGAAGAAGAAAGCACTCAAGACTTGTTCAGGATGTTTTATCTACAACTGAGGCAGTGGCAAAAGACGAAAGTTCTGGTTCTGGCTCAGCTGCTACATTACTAGTGATGGACAAGCTCTCATTCCTCTCTAGGTCTGTTTCCTCACCTGAAAAGTGGGGGCATGGGGAACAGTGGACCAGATGAAGGTCAGAGTTAAGTTGTAAACACAGGAAAAGCAGCCTTGAGCAATTATTTAAGTGCTCTGTGTCTCAGCTTCCCAATCTGTAAAATGGGGACTTAATGGTACCAACCTCACAGGAAGGGAGGATTAAATGACAGAACACATGCAAAGAGCTTATTACAATGCCTGGCACATAGAAAGTATGTCGAAAAGTGTTAAGTTATAATATGCAATATGGTTATGGTGACATCAGGATGTACACTTCATTGCCAGCATCTTCCATGCTCACCTGCACCCACTGTGGCAATGGCACTCTCCTGGCCAATGATGTGCTCCTTCAGCCGCTGCTCCAGTGGGAATCGGCGCCGCTCCTCAGCTTCACGCTTCCGCTGCTTCTCCTGGTACTGTGGGGAGAGAGCAAGGTGCTCAGGAGTCCGGGCCCAGCAGCATCCTAGTTTTATTCTATCCCTGACCTAGGGGATAAAACACAGGCCTGGCTCCCCAGGGGTCAGGATTCACAGCCCTGGCTCATGACCCCTGGAGGCCCAGTCCTCCCTCAGTCCTCTCATTCTACCCCTCACCCCATCTCCTTACCTCAGGTGGCCACTGCTCAGAGTGCTGGCTAACTCTGCTAGTAAAATAAGTACTACTACTAAATTAAACCTTGACTCTGAAGTCTGACAAAAGACCTGGGTTTGAATGCTAGATTTATCACTGACAAAATATGCTTATCACCTGAAGCAAGTTACTTCACCTCAGTTTTATCTATTAATGAGGGATTAAACATGATGATATATACAATGTGCCTAGCATCATGGCCGGCATGTAGCAAGGCTCAGCAAGTATTCTTTCCACTTACTCTCTTGAAAACCTTTTTGGTTTTCAAACCAGAGCTATGAACACCCTCCACTTCAATGATACTGCATTTCGCATTTCTTTCTTTCTTTTTTTTTTAAATATATTTTTTTATTGATTTTTTACAGAGAGGAAGGGAGAGAGATAGACAGCTAGAAACATCGATGAGAGAGAAACATCGATCAGCTGCCTCCTGCACATCTCCTACTGGGGATATGACCGCAACCCAGGTACATGCCCTTGACCGAAATCGAACCTGGGACCTTTCAGTCCGCAGGCCAACGCTCTATCCACTGAGCCAAACCGGTTTCGGCGATACTGCATTTCAATTAAACACAATTATCCAGCAATTGCTATGTGCTGGGCCCCATGATGGGAAGGTGGGGCGGGGAGAAGGAAGAGAACTGTGCTCTGCCCCCTGGGAGGTTCTAGTGATGCTGAATATTTGGCATGTGCTGGCCCTGGGCGTGGTCCATCTCAGTAAAGGCAGAAGCTCCTGAGCTTGGTCACACTGCGAGGAAGAAGAGGAGAGCAAGGACTTGCCCTCAAGGAGCTCAAAGGCGGGCCGGGGAGGTGAGGCAGGGTCTGTGCACAAATATTGCTCAGGCAGAACCATCCAATTTCCTCACAGTTCTAAAGCATGCATGCCCATTCCTAGCCCTGTGCCTATCACTACCACCTCCTCCACCACCACCCCCAAAAAACAAAAAAAACCTCCAACTACTTGAAAACAAGTTTGTTGTATAAGCCTGTATTCTAAAATCAGTGATGAGCTCCCTGAGGGAAGGCACTATTTTTCACTATTTCTAGCACAAGTCCTGGCACAGTAGAGGCATCTAGTGAATGACTGCAAAAATGAATTGAACCCGCCTCTCCCAGGCCTTCACCACACTATTGTCTGTGTCCATGGGGTATGCATACATGACAATATAAAGAGGACCTAACAGCTAGACTGGGTGGTGTAGGAGTACAGAAAAAGAAGTGAAGGATACACAAAGTATGGAACATTTTTTTGGGTGTAGGCTTCCTGGGAGACGGGAAGCTTGCAGAAGCTGGAGTAGTGGGCTAGGTGGAAGTTGTGGGACTCTATGGAGACCAGCGGGGAAGGGCGAGTGCATGGGTACCATGAGAAAGCACTTATGGCAGCTGGGGGCAGGGGAAGAAAGCAGGTCTTGGAGTAGAGAATTCAGGAGGCTCTCTTTCCCTCAGACCTCTAAACACTGACAGATTTCCAGAAAGCATGCTGCCAAGGTAAGGCCCTGTCACAAAAGTTGTGGTTGCAGATTGCTCTTGCGGGCAGAGTGGATGAAAAATACCTGCTGCTTGGGCAGTGTTTTCCTGTTACGGTAGTGACCTTGACAGAAGTTAAAAAAAATAAATAGCAAACAATCCAATTTTGGTTGTTGCTATCAGTCTGTAACTGAAAGCTCCCATCAGTCCTGGGGTTTCATGTGGAGCAATAATTCGGCGCCGATCCCAGTGGAGCGACGCTTGCCGGTTGGAATCCAGAGTGTCACTGTGCAGCTCCCTCAGGCGCCACATACATCACCTGGCTCTGACGACTCCAGTCATATATCTGCCTCCTCCTCCTCCTCCCTGCCCACCCAGTCCCTCTCAGCACGCGGTCCACTAGGCTAGAAGGCTCTGATGGTGAGAAATACACAGGCCGGCTGGTACAGCTCCAGCTGGTGCACTGGCCGGCTTACAGTCAGTCAGGCAGACCATGGAAGGAGCTCGAAGCGATGGAAACTGGTCTCCACTGGTTTGTTGGGTGTTTTCTCACTTCTCCTCAGTGATGGGTATCCCCACCTCTAGGCCTTTTGCTCACTCTGCTCCCTCACCACAGAAGTCTCTCCACTCACACCCACCTCCAAGTGCCTTGGTGATCTCAGCTTCAATACTGTATTGTCTAAGAACCCTCTTGTAAGACTTCCTGCCTGCCGCAGGCCCTGTGGAGCACTTATTTGACTGCCCGTTTCTCTCTTTTCTAATCCATAAAGTTCTTAGTGACAAAGACTAAGTTGTATTCTTCTCTATAGCTCCAGCACCTAGCACAGGGCCGGGCTCACAGAAAGAGTCAATACATGTTGCCAACTAATGAGACAGCAACCATTTGTGGACTAGCTTCTGCATGCCAGGCACTGTACTCAGTGTTTTATACACAGCATCATATTTTTGTTTCCTCTATTTTATTCTTTAAAAAATTTATCTTTATTGTTGAAAGTATTACAGATATGCCTTTTCCCCCCATTGATCCCTGCCACCCCACCCCCGCCCCTCCCAGGCCTTCACCACACTATTGTCTGTGTCCATGGGGTATGCATACATACACATATAAGTTCCTCAGTTAATCTCTCCCCATCCCCACCCTCACCTTCCCTCTGAGATCTGTCAGCCTGTTCCATGCTTCTATGTCTCTGGATCAATTTTGTTTATCAGTTTATTTTGTTCATTAGATTCCATATGAGTGAGATCATGTGATACTTATCTTTCTCTGACTGGTTTATTTTGTTTAGTATAATCCTCTTCAGGTCCCTCTATGCTGTCTCAAAGGGTAAGAGATCCTTTCTTTTTTACAGCTGCATAATATTCCCTGGTGTCAATAGCACAGCTTTTTAAAATCCACTCATCTACTGATGGGCACTTGGGCTAAGATTTACAATCTTAGCTATTGTAAACTGTGCTGCTATGAACATAGGGGTGCATATATTCATTCTTCTTTTTTTTAAAAAAAGTATTTTCTTTATTGATTTCAGAGAGGAAGGGAGAGGGAGAGAGAGATAGAAACATCAATGATGAGAGAGAATCATTGATCAATTGACTCCTGCACACTCCCTACTGGGGATTGAGCATGCAACCCAGGCATGTGCCCTGACTGGAAATGAACCTGGGACCCTTCAGCCTGCAGGTCAACACTCTATCCACTGAGCCAAACTAGCCAGGGCTCTTCTTTTTTTGTTAATCCTCACCTGAGGATAGTTTTCGATTGATTTTAGAGAGTGGAAGGGGGAGGGAGGGAAGGAGAAAGAGAGAAAGAGAAACATCAGTGTGAGAGAGACACACTGGTTGGTTGCCTCCTACATGCACCCTTGCACCCTGACTGGGGATCGAGCCTGCAACTAAGGTAAGTGCCCTTGACAGGAATTGAACCTGGGACCTTTCAGCAAGCCGATGCTGTATCCACTGAGCCAAATTGGCTAGGGCCATATATTCTTTCTGATTGGTCATAGCATCATATTTAATCCTTACAGTTGTCCCCATCTGAAGTTTGGCTCCTCCTTTGGCTCACAGTGGCGCAAGGCATGTGGCGCAAAGAAACTTTGCTCCAGGCAGACCTGAATTCAAACCTCACCTCACCTACCTACTAGCTAGCTGACCCTGGGGCAGTTAATTTACCTCCTTGAATTTTATTTTCCTCATTTATAACATGGTGCTGGTATTCATACCTAACTTGCAGGATCCTTGGGGATGTTGGTGGAGATTAAATGAGATAGTGTATACAAAGCACCTGGCAGAGTCTCTGGCACACAGTGAATGTGTATGTGGAAGTGGTATGTAAGAGACTCAAGGGGAGGAGAGCACAGTAGCTGGCCCTTGGAAGGCCTTTGATAAATGCTACTTCTCCTTCACTGCATTTTGATAACTAATTATGTAACCCAGTGCCATTTATTTATTTATTTGAACTCTTTATTTACCAAAACTCTTTAAAATAATGTAATCTGTGTGGAGCTCCATACATAAAGAGAATGGTTGCTCTGGCTCAAGTAGAAGCCAGGAGCTAAGTCCACTTGGATGCCCCCACTGCCCTGGAAGTGGCCCCTGACTCCTTCCCCTAGGAGCCCGACAGGGCAAAGTCCCAACAACAACAGGGGTCCGAGGACACCTACTATATGGCTCATCTCTGCCTATCAGTTTTCGTTACGTGGTACAGAATTCCTCCATTGATCTGTGGGGCCTCAGAGAACATATCTTTTTCCTTTGCTGCATGCCAAGCCTAACATGACTTTGTCACCACTTTGTTGATTTGGGTACACTGTTCATGGCCTCCTTGTCTTCTCCAGGGAAACATTTCTACTTCCTGTAACTCTTCTTCAGAGTCATGATTTTAGGCTATCTTAGAATTCCTGTTATTTTCTTGGGCAAGGAGAAAGGGTCCTTAACTTCTACGGGGGTCAGAGTGGGGAAAAGTTACACTGTGATTTGGGTGGTTTCTCAGGAGCTTTCCAGATAGTCCTGGGAAAGAGTTAACCTACAGCCTAAATCTAAGCATGTCTCAATTCTCCACCAGCCTGGTGGAGATATATGAACTCCTAAATATCTATTCAGAAAAACTTTTGAAAATGCAGAATTTTGGATAAAAATGTACAGGATACTGAGATTAAACCAGATAGGTTACAGATTCATTCTCTTTTCCTAATGCTTAGCACAGGCTTTGTATAAAAAAATGTACTGAATGAATGACTTGTTAACTATATGAGCCCAGGCTTGTGAAAAGCTAGCCAGTGGAAGAACCTAGGAAAGGAAAATACTTGGTTTGCATATACTCTTC